CCTTCTGGAGCTGACTACCTTCATACTTGCCAGGCTGAACACTCAGACTGTAGTGCCTGTGCACATATCATTCATTCTTTTTGCCACTGTGTCCTTTCCCCATTCTCATTTTCTCCAGTGCAACTCCATCTCTCCTCCTAAATTTGAGGAGTTGCCTTCTTGGGTAAATCCTGCCTTCTTGGGTAAACTCACTGCCTTGGAAGCTCAACTCTGAGCTTCCTCAACTCTCAACTCTGACAGCTTTCTTCAGATCTCTGAGGTAACCTCCCAGTGTCTCTCAGTTGCTTCAGGTTAGGACTTCTTATTTTCTTTTAACCCCTGTGCCCAGCAAAGCAACTGACATTAGCAAACAGGAAGCTTTCCAAGCTCCAACCTTTTTCCTGTCCTGTTTATAAGAGGTAATTCCCCAGAGTTTAACTACAAGAGTCCTATTGTCTTCATTCAGGAGGTTCAAAAAGTTAGATCAATTTGTCTAAGTCCTCTCCAGTTATTCCCTTGGAAGGAAAGATGGCTTCATGAGGTAACATTCTGGGACACCCCTCTGGGAGCCAGTGGTCAAAAACATTCCCCTTAATTATCTCAAAACAAAATGTTGAGGGGAGTGGAAAAAATCCAACCTTTCTGCATAATTGATCATCACAGACTAGATAAAGAAAATGAGAGAGGAAAGTAGAGCAAGGAAAAAAGAGGGTTATTCAATGCCAGACCTCTGCTTCTCCATAAAAAACAACATTTCAATCTTCACAAAGATTGTGCTTTGAGGAAAGCCTTTAGTGACTCCTACCATCCCTGCTTCTTAGGAAATCATCCCAACCAATCTCTCACCTCTTTCCCATTGATTGTTCCACCTGGGTCTTTACACTGCTAACTAAAAATAAAATGGAAAAATTGAGTTGCACCAAAAATTGAAATGATATACTAAACTATATCTAGATAAATATTTATCTTGTCACTATTAAAGGTTATATATTACATTAAGAATTTATTTTGCATTGGCAAACAAGATTAATAATTCAGGTTTTCTATTGTCTCTGTAACTAGTAACATACAACAATTCAATTTGGCTTTTTCCTCAAATTCTTTGAGAAATATTCTAAGTCCAAGAAGGCTTATAATTTAAGTTTTATTTTCTGACATTTCTTTTCCTTTCATGAACTGTTTACTCTAATGTTCAGCATCTGCAGATTCTAGTCCCAGAGTTAGATCAGCCTGGAGAGTTTCTAATTTCTTGAACTCTCAGTTCTGGCCTGATGCCTGACCCTTGGGAAATATAATGCTGCTTCTGGAATCTTTCTAAACCACACAAGGGCTGTTGTGTAAGGACATTTCAGCGATCAGAGTTTATGACTCAGAGCTTTTGAAAGTCTAAATTCTAGTGGCTGTTTTTACACCGCCTCTTGGTCAAGGTTTGGGTCTTCTGTTCCCCACCCTCCCCTTCAGATTAAAGAAACTAGATCCAAGAATTGGTAAGACAAACAATATTTGAAAATATAATGTTAGGCTATAATAATAGCATAGTTTAAAGAATACAAGAATAAACTTAAGGGGAAAGAAGAGTTGATGAATATTTTGGCAATTTAATTTAATAATCAATCCAATATAAACTGAATATTTACTAGATGTTAAGTGATTTCACATATCTCTTCCCATTTATTCTTGTATGTAACACTATGCTATAGACATTAATTATCTCCAGAGAAGTCTGAGGCTCAAATGTATTAAATCTGTTGCCCAAGATTCTCACTACAATTTTGTGCCACTGGACTTGAACTTCAATCTTTTGATTTTTGGTTCAGAACTCTTCCAACTGCACCACTCTGTTAAAACACACCATGGTTGGATATCTGTCTTCCATTACCTATTATCAACTTTTGAAAATAACCCTTATAGTTATAAATACAGTTTTATTCTAATCTAAAAGTTACCTACCATTACCAAGGTAGTCAAAAGAGTGCATTTTGTAGAACAATAAAATTGAGAGGTCACCCCTATTCTCAGAGTAGCCTCACTTAAGCAAGACTAGGAAAGGTAGAATCCAAAGAAACTATTTCTAGAATCTTTTACAGGACAAACCCCTATCTAATGCAGACTACTCAACACCCCCCTTCTTTTGGGCTGAATGGGGTCCTTTTACAGAGGAAGCTGCTAATATGGCAGCAGGCTATTAATGGGAAAAGCATTTACTTTAGATTAAGAACAGTGTAAAGTAGAGAGGGTCCCTCTATGACTGGCTATTAGGGATGTTAATTAAATATTTATAATGTCTAAATTAGCATAGTGAAAGCTCAATTCATCAATTTGTTCTGGTCTCTTTGCAAGGGGGAAAAAATAACTCCAAATGCCCCTGAAGAAAGATGCTGTCTGAGTCAATAGGAAGATGACTGAACAATTTATTATGATTGTGGTAAACTTTTTTATTTTGATTTTATTTAAAGGTACTTGTTGCAGCACCTTACCTTAAAGACCATTTACCACAGTCAATATACTGGAGGGTCATGCATTATTCATTGTTATCCAGTGAAAAATTTGCTAAGGTGCTGCAATGCTGAATGTCTGATTGATTAATTTATTCTTTTGATTTCTTTGATAGTTCCTTCCAAAAAGCAGGGAGGGGTCTTCATGTAATGTTAAGAAGTGGGTCTGGAAACTAGAAGCCATGGGCCTTTCTTCTGTTACTAACTAGCCTTTTAAAACACCTGGTTTCCCAAGTCTTGAAATGGTATCTTACCAATAAGTTGTTCCTGGACTCCACAGTTAATAATAGAGAGGACTAGCTTGGTTTTTCCACTTAAAACTACTAGGTATTTGGGTGTGTCTCCCTCTATCCAGTGTAGGCAAGACAAGAATATTAACACCGAAATGCCCAGTCTGTAGATATTTAATGAATGTATTGTAGTAATCACATTAGTTTAAAAAAATTTTTTACCTGATTTTGTTGAGGGAAAGTCCCAAAAGGGAAAGGCCACTTGTAACCACTCTACTTTAGATGAATTTGGTTGCAATGGAGACTTCATCACCACTCACAAAGATGTGGGTAAACACACAATTATAGGAGGAAAGTCTGGAAATTCTTACAAATCCAGTCTCCCCACTGGCCCAGTAGTCCCCATATCACATGTAATGGATACACTTCTTCCCCAAAACTAAAAAGTAAAAAATAAAGGCTTGTGTAGATCGTCAGCTTGTTTTTGGCTATAACACACTGTTTTTCTTCTATCTAGTAGGCTTTCTTCTTCTATGGAGAAATCATCAGAAATACAGTTTAACCTCTCTGTTTACCAGTGCATCTGATCTCCCTCCCTTTCTCTCCTTCATCGAACAAGATGGCCTTCCCTAGAGGGAAGGCTGGCTTGAAAGGGTTAAAGGTTCCCTGGTCGAAATGACCCAACAGAAGGAGCCCGGCCCAGAGCTGAAATCTAAGTGCTAATGACCGCTGCCCTTCACCCCGCTGCTGTCCACCGGCCGGACCTGAGGCCGGGTGGGGGCCAGAACTGGGAGAGGGCACAATGTTCTGCATTTAACATTTGAACTTCTCCTATCCGAGGCAGCAGGCCGTTTTGTCCTGGGGTCGCTGACCCTGGCTCCCCCATCAGCTGCCCTGAAACCTTAATTGAATGACAGATGGTCATCTTCTGGGGCGCCAGAAGCTGTGGGCAGCCAGCCGCGCGCGGGGGCTGCAGCCCCAGTCCCCAGCAGTGGAGCTGTACTGCTGCCAGAGAGCGTAGGGAGAGCGGCTGAGGACCTGGCGGCCCGCGTACGCATGGGAGTCCGCGGGCCTCCGCCAAACGTGCAATTTTCTGCTCCGGAGGAAACCAGAGTTTAAGTGGCCGCGTGTGTGGAAAAACTAGCTGCGTGCTAGTGACCGTGCCAACCTACAAAGCTAAGCGCCGGACACACAATAGGCCCACTCTAGACCAACAGTAAGGGTCGCCTGATCTGCCCGGAGCCTGACACAGACTCGGGCCCAGGAAGGCAGCTGACGAGTCAAAATGTCTAGCGTTCTGTACAGAAAGGCCTAGACTCCAGCACTGGTCAATGAGGCCTAAGGCCAGCTGACCAGGGTCCAAGCCCAATATGCCATGCTCCGGCCTTACCCGCCTGTAAGGGAGCAGGTGGGGGAAATGCCGGATCCCGCTCGCGGCGGGCCTAGAGCAACATCCAGAAGTGTCTTCGAATGATCGCCATTCCTCCCCCGAAGCCATGCGAGTTTAGCAAATCCGGCGAATCCCTGGGCCCCGCCGACTAACGCCGGCACTGGAATCCCGAAAATACTCAATGGCGGGAATTTGCAGGGCTCTCGGGTTTAAAAGATGGGCGCCCCAAAAGGCGCTCGGAGGCACCGCGGCCCAGCCGCGCCGCCTTAGCTGCCTGCCCGCGCCCTAGTGTCCTATTTCTTTAAAATAAAAGCTTCGAGCCCTACAATTACTAGGATTACAGTGAGCGGTTATTGATCCGCAGCCGGCATTGTAGGATCAAGCAGGCGGGTGGCAGCAGACATCGCCGCCCCCAACCCTCACCGCCGCTAGTCCTGCAAAGCACTGAAAAAAGCCGTTTCTAAATGTTTGATTTCAGACGCACCATCAACACCTGCTGCAAAAGAATGACACCCCCTCCCGCCTCCCCGCCCCAGCGGCCGCACCTCCTTCTCTCCGCCCGTGGGCCTCCCAGGCCCGAGTCAGCTACGCCGCCACCTTCAGCCCTTTTTTTTTTTTTTCTTCTTTTTTCTTTTAATTACTGAGGGAAAATATACACATAAGAAACAACAACAAAAAAGCCTCCCCGGCAGGCGCGAGCGGGGGTGGTGAGAAGACCCGCGAAGGCGGTAATGCAACCCTAATGCACAGATAGCAGACATCAACTTCCGTCAGGCAGCTCCTGGAGATCGAACCTTTCGATTGTAACTGGGACAATTTGCATAGTGATTCCCTTTCAGACCTTTCCCGGGTCCATAACAAGCCCAGGCAGCTATTCAAATGCGAGTTGCGAGCCTAAATGCTAGGTTGGCCTGACCAAAAAAAGCCATCCGGCGCCCGGGAGAAGCGAGACTCGACTCGGGTTCTCGCCCTTCTCTTTTCTTTTTTCTCTTTCTCTTCTCCGGTTCCTGATTTAGCTGGGAGCTGTTTATTTATGGCTGCAAATGTGTGTGTGCGCGAAGGAAAGCGGGAGAATTGATCTTTGCCTGGACTTAAAGATGGAGCGGATGGCGCTGGAGGGAATTTGGGCTGTGCAGTCAGGCTCAGACCCTGGGCGCCGAAGGGGGCAGCTTGGCACGGAGCCCAAGGTCTTTCTTCCCCGCACCCCTCACATCGTGACCTTGCTGGAATCCTCAGGCCCGGGAGCAACCTGGGGACCCACCTGTCCCAGGCAGAGCTACCAAGAAAGGCTGCACGGAGGGGCCCGTCCTGTGCCAGTCTTTAAAGTGAGCGCAATAAAAGGTATCACCCGCGACGTGAACGACTTCTTTTCTTACTGTCCATTAGTTGGGGACGCGGGTAGGGGGAAGAGAGCTAGTTATAGTTTCCGGAGAGGGTGAATTAGGGGACTTGAAATTAGGCTTCCCTGTTTTCTGGTTTCCTTCTTATTTGAAATTATGCAGATTGACTCTGGTTTCCCTCCCTCCTAGGGGTCAAATCCTCAGACGCGAACCTGATCGCTTGTCAAAGAAGCAACTTGCCATGAAATCCGCTAATGCGCGGCGACTCGCCCACGAGGGTAAGCCAGTCTACAGGCGCATGCGGAGGGGTGAAGGGGTTACGCATAGGCCCGGGCAGGTGCTCCAGGCCCCTGGCCACTGTAGTCCACTACTGAGCTTATGGCCAGGCAAGCAGGGTGGGAGGCTAGGGCTGAGGGCAGCAGCCGCGTCACCGCCCGCGAGCCGAGCGGGGGCGCACCCCTCCCAGCCTTCTCTCGCAGCTTTAGCATCTAACAGGTCCTCCAGGCAAGTTAAAAGTAGCAAGTGAGGGCTGAGGGGAAGCCTCCCGAACCGCGTGTAAATATCCAGGCGTATCCCGTGCTCTGGCAGATAAGCGAGCTAGCTTCTGCGATTTGTCAGCAGTTCCAATGCCAAGCAGCTTACAGAGGCAGAACCGCACCTGCATTTGTGAGCGTTGTAGAAGTGGAGCCTGCAAGGTTCACTTACCCCGGGAGATTCCCAAATTGGAACTGGGCTACGCTTCCCCAGGCTTGTTCCTGCTTTCTAAATCTCCCAGGTTGCGTGGCTGTATCACCAAATACAGTCCAAACCTGTTTTAAATGATCACTGTCCACTGCTCTCTTTCTTTGCAGCACTGACCGTTATCTCAATGGCAGAATCAGCTCATTAGGTCAGAGGGCATAAAGAGGAGGCTAAAAATCGTGTCTTTTTTTTTTAAGTGATGAGAAAATGTAATTTCCTGATGATCTTTGCTTATATTGGTTCCGGGGGTGCTGGAAGCTGTCTGGCTATGAGCTTTCTCCTTGCCCCTGTTTTATACGGAGCACTTGGTTTATTTTCCGCACATTTTAAGCCTTGGTATCGTAAATACATATGTTTTCGTGAACGTTTCACAAAAAGTTTCTTATAGAACAGATTTAGAAGAGTGTGTATGCAGTTGAATGGTGGGAGGGGATTGGAAGGTACCAATAAGTATAATGCAAAGTGAAAATAAATTGAATAGGCAAAAAAAATGATTATGAAAGAAAGTGAGGGAATTAACTGGTCTGAGGAAAGCAAGTTTAAGGTCTGAATTTTACAGATTTAATGGCCACACAAAATAAAGCAAAAGAAGTAAACCTGATTCTTTGAGGGGGGGAACATAGGCACTATGCATTTATCTCAGCTAAATGCATGTTTTGAGACATTTTGAAGAACAATTCAGCTATGGGATACTTTTCCTCCTTTTTCAGTAAACTACAACCATTTCAGTGACCTTCACATTTTATCAGAAACTATTTGAATTTTATTTCTGATTTGCAGAAATAAAGAAAATCTTTAAAACCCTGACAGTTAAATTATTACTGGTTGCTAAGGGGTTAATTTGGTGTAAATAAACTATTGCCTTTGAGCACTAACTGGGAGGAGGTGGAAAGGCCCAGAGCAAGAAACACCTGTCTGGTGGGAACAGGGCTCTATGGGTCTGAGGGAGGTTGGAGAGAATCTGAAGCTAAGCTTTGGGTTTGCTGCATCCCTCTTGCTCTCTTAAAACAGTAACTCAAGATGTAAGTAAAAGTGTTTTCATTTTTTATTGATCCCACTAACATCTTTCATTATCCAGCATGTAGCCACAGCAAATTATTGCTCATTTGATACCGAGAATTCTATTGACCATCGCTTTCGTTGGAGAGAGAATTCTAACTACTCGGCTGCTCAGTAGTCAGTCAGAGCTGAAGCTGAGGACGATCCTCAGCTAAACGCAAATAAATTGAGCCCTCTGCCTCCAGGAATTGATGGAGATGTGTTCATTACACTGGGCCACGTGAACATGCATAAAAATCTGCTTTTTACTCTGCTGGCCTTGCCCTCACTCACAAAAGGTCGGCCCCTTTGGAACAGATCTGCCTACTTGGAGGGCAGGGCATTCCTATGACTCTCCTGAATCTGGCAGCCTCTTTCCTGCACAGGCTAGGGTTGGGGAAAATGAAATAAAGCAGTGGAAGTCTGCTCTGGTAACACACCACATTCAAAACTGGCCCAATTTGGACAACTACAGAAATAACGGGGGAGGGGGGGGAGCCTCCCAAAATATCTTCAATAGTGGCTTTATGGTCCCAATGTAATTTCCTAAATTAAGTTGCTCCCCATAGAAAATCCACAGTCATCAGATAAAGCTAAGTAGGGGAGGAGAGCTCTGAAATCAGCAACTGCTTTCTTTGGTTAGCAATGGGCTGCCAGCCTGGAGTGACCGCCTGGTGACTGACTCTCTCGGTAGCAGCCCTCGAGTTTGAGGCCACAGCCTAGTAAAGCTTGACCTTTGGCCCTGAGGCTGGAAGCTCTGGGCCACTCACAGCTGGAGAGAGGTCAGTTGGGAAAAGAGACTGGAGAGGGATAGAAGGAGGAAAAGAGAAATCAGTCTGTTTCCCCGGCAGCTGGAGAGTGAATCTGCCTTCACAAGGAAAAGATCCAGAGCTGTTCCCCAGGAGGGCCACCAGATGCCCCAAATCTCAGACTGCTTCCCCCTTCTAAAGGCTGCCTCCTCTCGTTTGCCAGTCAGGAAGGATGTGGATACAGATGCAGATGCCTTGGCAGCCTCCTTACTGGGCATCTTGCAATTTGCGGAGAGGTGCCCCAAATAGAGGGTGCGATTACCTAGCATGACCTTTGCAGAAAAACATGGAGCTCAACACCAGGTGGAGGCTGAGCTGCCCCCTGCCCCACAGCCAGCCGGGCATCGGCATCGCAGCCCAGCCTGATATCGATGCCCAGTCCAGCTTGTCAGATTTCTAAGTGAGGAGGGAACAATATCTAAGTCTCCTAACTCCTCGACCCCAAGACTAAGCCAAGTGACCTTGGAAGAACCATGCCCTGGGGACTCCGCGGAAGAGATGGTTTGGTTGGGCTTCAATTCCGCAGACACGGAGATATAAACCCTCCGCTCCAGAACAAAAGGGGGAGGCCCAATTAATGACTTTAGTAAATGAATCTATGGCATATACAGCTCATGAAACTGCAATTCCAAATCGGAAGGCTCATTGTAGGGCTCTAAGAGACCGAGTTTAATACTTATTTTCCTAATAAGTACTGTTAAGGGTACTGCATTCTCACGGGTAGCGCTCCGCGTTTGGGGATCCACTGTGTTCTAGAAAAAGGCAGTGGACAGGTAAGGGTGAGCTCTGTGCACGCTGGGCAAGAACATCAGTCAGTCGAGAGATGAGATTCTGACTCGTTTTTTTTTAGTTAAGTTGAGATTCACGCCATGGATGCTTTTGGTTCTTATTGTTTTAAACGTAGATAAATAACCCCCCGCGTTGGGGTAATCAGAGGGTGCCTGGTTCAGTCGTATTCTTGGAACGCGCGCTTGCTCGCCCAGCCCAAAGAGATTTCGGGAACCCCATTTTCCAGATGGCAGCCCAGAAATCTGCAACCCAGAAAGCCCTCCGGGAAAGGAATCTGCTCACGGTCATGCAACGGGTCGGACACACGCAAGGACAGAGGCTATGTTTCATAGGATCGAAGATTCAGGGTGGCTGAGAGGCCGCCGGCTTAACCAGCTAGGACTCTCTGGCACTGCCTGAATCCTGCACTACTAGAGCGACGTTATCTTAAGAGTTATTTTGGAAAACAAGATCTGGGGCCTGGATTTAAATTAAAGAAATTAGGGTCAAAGGAACAGGTGGCCCACCATTTCTTAGGAAAGGGGCTATAAGAAGTACCCAGTTTGGACCAACTTTGCCAAAGACTGGAGATTAGAAAATGCATTCTCCTCACACACACAACAACACTCCTCTCCTCTGATGGCCAGCTCATCCCTGTGCAGGGGACCCCTGACTATTCACAGTGCTTCCCAACCACCCTACAGCCCCCTCCACATTGTGGCAGGCAAATGAAAGGAGCAGAACTCGATAGTAAATTATTTTGCTCTGCCTTCTGTCTTTTTATGAAAATAAAAGGCAACACTTTGTCATTTTTAATCATATAAGAAGACAATAAACCTAATTTCGATATTGATTTCCCCCAGAATCAAGTGATTTTGTGCAGTGTCTTTTGTGTTTCTGAGGAAGGGTCCTTTGTTGGTAGACTGCGTGGCTATGTGTCTGTGTCTGTGTAGCTTATCTGAAACTTGTACTTGATTGTGGACTCAGCCCCTGAGCTGAGAAGGGTTCTTCCTGGGGGGCAGGACCATGAGTAGTTTGGGTTTTGTTGTTTTGGTTTTGGGGGGGGGTGGGATGTTGTTTTGTCTAACTATCTAGAAAATGTTCTCAAATTCGTTGCCTCTCATGCCCTAGAATAGGTTTTAGGCTTGCTCATTGCTATTAGGAGCAATGGCCTCAAAGATTTTTTTTAACAAAGTAAAAACGAAAACAAACAAACAAAAAACATACTGATATCAACCAGGGGCCCATAGAGCACCATGGGTATTTTAGCCAGGGATATGCACCCACCTCTTACAGAGATTGGCAAAGGGGCACTGCCATCATGAGCCAGCAGGACACAGACTGGTTCAAAGACCCAGCTGAGATGCCACAAGAGGTGCCACTTACAGGCCCCCAGAGACTTGGATGCTCCCTCCAAATGCTGGTGCTCAAGTGTGCATCTTATCTTTTACAAAATCAAGAATATTTGATGTCCATGCCAAATGATGTTAGCACTTGCCATGAGGCAGTCTCAAGGAGAAGAGAGGAGCTGTTAGGCCTTCAACTAGTTAGAGGGGAAGAAAACAAATAATCAAAGAAAGATTAAGGAGGAGAAAGGGAAAGAGTAAGGGAGAAGGAAAAGGGAAGAATAAGGGAGAAGGAAAAGGGAGAGAAAGAAAAGGAGGGGAGGAATGGAGAAAGAGAGGAAGGGAGGACAGGAAGCTAAAGAAAAGGGAAAGAGGAAAAAGTAAGAACAGAGGTAGAATGGAAAGGATGGAAAGAAAAGAAAAATAAAAAAGGAGGAATGAAAAGGAACGGTGAAGAAGAATAAAATAACGGAAGGGAGGAAAATAAATTGTAAAAGCCCTAATAAAACGAAAATGCAAGATTACCCAGCCTTCAGAGAAAAACTGATTGTCTGATTTGTCCTGCAGCTCAGGATGGCTTCTTCTCTCCCACAAAAAAAAGCAGAACAAATAACTGCCCCAGTGTAAATTAAAAGCCCCCCTCAGCTTCCTACCCCAACTGAAAAGATTAAGGGCGGCAGCATTTCACTGTTAAATAGGGACCCACACATTACCCTAGCATTAGCCGGTGATGTCCCCCAACCCCCAAAGATTTGGCAGGGCTCTGTCATCCTCCCTACCCCCGCCCCTCCACACACACACCACATGCACTTCCAAGGATCAAGGACCCTGACTAGGGAAGAGACCAGGTTGCTCTTTACCCTGGAGAGGGGGATGGGACCTCGAGCCTGCAAGTGACCCTCAGGCTCTGACCTTTCCTGCCGTCCTCCCGGGTCAGTATTTAACCTTTTGCTCTCCGCACCCTCGCCCTCGCGGCCCCCAGCTAGGGAGAAAGGGAGAGTGGGTCGATATTCGGAACTACCCAGAAAGGGGACGATGCCTAGACAGAATAGAGAATGGGGCCCCAACCGATGTGTTCACACCCTTTCTGCCCTACCCAGAAAACCTAGTCAGTGCTCTCCTGGCGCTAATGTCAAGGTCCACTTAGCACCCCACCTCGTGCCTGGTAAAGAACCCGCTGGCACAGGCAAGAGTGGGCCATCTTTTCCAGCTCTGTTTAGAATAATTTCTTTTTTCCCAAAGCACACCATCCTCTTAACTCAGGCACCCGTTTGCATTTTAGAGATACAGGGAGCCTTGACCAGCTGGAAGGAAGACAGTGCAAATCAGACCTGTGCCCGCTAAACCTGAAACTCCTCGCCGAGAGCGGGTGCCAAGAGAAGAAATCGGATCAAAGTTCAGGCTGCCGGGCCCAGCTGACCCGCCCTGTTGTCCCCGCTGGGAGGGCCAGAACCAGCCTCTAGGCTGCCACTCCACGAACTTCGATAAGCGCTCGCGACTGGCGCCCCAGAGGGCTCTCCCCGCCGGGACCGGGAAAAGCGGGCGGCAAACCGGAGGCTGTCAAGGCGGGGGAAGCGCCCCCCACCCCACTGCTCCCCGTGGCTTGGGGTTTTCGCGGTCTCCCCAGCTGGAGCCGGGGCCGCCAGGAGCCGAGAGCGTTAGGTTCAAATGCATCAAGACTCTGAAGTCATTTATCCGGTTTCATAAATAATTTTCTTATTACACTTAAGCCCGATTCCTGCCCCCTTTCCGTTTTTATTGCGGGGTTTCAGCAGCTAAAAAGTTTCTAAGTCGGGTGGGCCGTTGTTTTCCTTTTTCCATCATTAACATCATTAATATAAGCTATCAATAACCCTGTCGTTCGGAGCCGAGTTTCACGATATTGATCCACGCGGCTATTCATCTCTGCCATGCAAGACACGGAATAATTTTCGCATTACAGTAGCTTGGATTTGCTTTTAATTCATATTTAAAGCTGCAACCGGCTCAGTGGAGCGCTCTGCGAAAGACTAGAGGCGCCTAATTAATAATAAGTTAGAAACGAAGGAAGGCACTGGCGAATAAATAATTAATACAGACATCTATGTCTCTTTGAATATTGCTCCTTTAAAAATTTAGACTTACCAGGACCATACTGTAAGTCTGCAATTTATATTGTGGGGATGATTTAAGAAAGCTATTTTTTTTCCTTGAAATACAATGCTAAATTATTAACAGTGTTTTGCAAACCTAAGTTCCTTCATTAGCCAGCCCCTCCGGTTTGTTCCTTCCAGGTGGAAAACACCAATTTTTTTTTTTTTTTTAAGAATCATAATAAACCCCCAGCAAGAACCACCAGCTGTGATTAGCTGAGATTGCCAAGGGTAGGGAAGACAAAATGGCAAGGAGAGCAGAGTGTGGGGTCTCACTCTGAAAGGGGGGCTGGTAGCTGTCACATAGGGGATTTAGTTAGGGAGGAGGAGGACAAAAATTTAAGCCTTTAGCAGTGAGTCCAGAAATTCGCTGTACCTGAAGGGACAGAGTTTAAGGTAAACTTGTGATCCTCAAAGAGCATTATGAGGGAAGAGGCTGATATTTGGAGGCTCCCAGGGTCCCCCTGTGACAAATTCCAAAAAAAGCCTGGAATTTCAGAGAAAGGCTATTGAAAGTCAGTACTGATTTCTAAGCTAACCAGAAGTTACAATGAAGCTACTAGGGGAAATAAAATTCAAGTGGGTAGGAATGAGTGAAAATTGGACAAGGTTTTCATGTAAGAAGACTAGGATTTGTTTGCAATATTGTTAGCAATATTGATTTTTTTTGTTACTTGGATTAATGCATGTTAAACAGGAAAATATAGGCATTACTCAAGTACATTATAATCATCTATTTGTTGAGAACAAACTCTCAGGTGAGCGCTGGAGATTCTAGGACTGAAGATATACCCACGGCCATCAAAACCATTTAGGGTCCAGTTTTGGGCTGCTGGAATCTGGCAACAAAGGCAGTGTGGGGAAGAGAAGGTGTCCCTTCACTCCAGCTCACTCCCCTGCTGAATTACAGCTCAGTACTTAACTAACCCTCTACCCACTTGTATGTCAGGAAGAACCTCTCTGCTTGGCGAAATGACATTTACAGAAATCGAGAGCCCTTGGCCCCATCCCTACGGCCCTTAGCCCCGTCTCCAGGTCTTTCAGCCCTAATGATTAGCCCTGCAACCCTCTTTAGAGTCCTCAACCTAGCACCTTGGTCCACACACAACACACCAGCACAAACACATGCACACACACATATATATATACACCCATATCTATTAGGTTCGTTTTGTTTTTAAACAAAGGAGATGAGAAGTTAGCCACATGAGTAGCTATTCACAGATGCCTGGAGACCCTTTGTCCGCCGACCTTGGGCACCAGCTGGGCCTGGAGAAAGTACATCAGAGACCACATACATACATCCACCACACCTTGGTCTGGGATGCCTTCTCCCACACTCACCCCACCCACCACCTCAAGGTCCACCTCCTGGCCCTTCCTCTTGGGACATGGGGAACTAGGCTGCACTCCCAAGGTTTTTTTTTTCTCTCTCAAACCACCTGCACCTGGGTTACCACATTTACCCAGTGAAACCCACTCTATAGACCTTGCTGCCCAGGTGAAGACCTCTTCTAAGCTCCACTGAAACTAAAGGGCATGGCAGGACCCCTTTCGACTTGAAAGGTTGGAGAGGTGTGTGGCAGGATTAAAGGGCTATAAAAGTGAGGGGGAAAACTTTCTGAAGCTTGAGGACTCTAATCTTGCAAGGAATCTTCTTTGCTTGTGGGACTAAAGGGCAGATCTGGTAGCCCAGAGCTCTAGGTGTCTAGTTCTAGTCCAAACCCTGGGGGGGGGGGTGAAGGGATGAGCAGGCTGATACCTGGAAGGTGGATGCTGCTGCCATTGCAGGAAGGAAAGGTGTGGAAAGTGGGAAAGGGAAAGGAGAGTCGAAAAGAGGAAAAGGGGAGGCACCATGAGGAGAAAACAAAGAGAGAGTATGAGGAGAAAGAGCCCGACAAGAAGTGGGAACCCTGAACACCGGGAGTTTCATTTTTAAATCTTCTAGGTGTCTGCGGGTCAAATAAAGACAAGGGCAGTAACGATTATTCTGTTAAATCTATGGTACTTGACTGTGCAAACACTAATTGATTAGACACCAAAATGATTTGTTTAAAGAGTTTTCCTTCCCAAGTGCAGCTGCTCTCAGGCCAGGGTCGGCATTAGCCTTCGCCGAGGCTGTGTAGAAGCTGGCCAAGTAGGCCGCGTGCCTGGCCGCAGAGCCCACAATTGGTCGGGAGTAGAGTTGGCTGGTCCTTCCTGGCCACTTGAGGCTCTAGGCTGGGCTGTGACTTCAGCAGGTCGATGTCCTCAGAGCTGGAGGATGATGAACCTGGTGCCCAGGTGTGAACCAACTTTGCCCTCTGCCCGCCCTCTTTGTCCTGAGTTTTCCTCACTTCAGGTCACTCTGAACTGCACCAGTCTAAGTACAGACTGGGCCCGGCTTTCTTGAGCCTATTTTTCCCAGCCACTAGCCCTGGCACTCACTATCCCTTCACACCACTAAGCTCCACAAAGCCCCAAAGAGTCACCGGCCCCAACCTGGGAAACGCACTGCTATGCACAGGTGGGACATCTCCCTTGTAATATATTTGCAACCTGATCTTATCTTCCTCTACAGATAATATCTTCATGTAAAGATAAAACCAAGAAAGAAAATTCACTGAGGGATGATGAGAGATTAATTCCCTGGGGGAGCCCAGCTTAGGCTCCTTTCCAGAACATCACCCAGGAAACTTGGATCCCTTCAGTAGTCCCTGGAAACCCCCACTCCAGTCAACCCTCTGGGCCTGAGACCTTGAAAAGCTGTCCCCAAAGTGGGGGAGCAAAAGCTGTCCCCAAAGTGGGGGAGAGCTGCAATAAGGGATTTAAGTCCAGAAGACAATGCCTCTAGGTTTTGTTTTTTTTTTTTTCTGATGGGTCAAGAAGGGAAGTAAACAGAAATGCAGGCAATGGAATCCGATATTCTAGGACTGCTGTCCAGCACCCTCCCACAGCTCCAGAGTCAGCTGAGGATTGGCATAAGCTATTAAGAGCCTTTTAGTAAAACATCTATTCTTTCAGATTTGGAAGAGACAGGTAGAAGATTGAATAAAGGAAAATACAAAAATACAGAGAAAAAATATTGTCGTGGGTAAACACTGAAAATCAGGTTACAAAGGGAAAAAAGGAAGGGGAAAATGTTACCTGAACAGATAGATGGTTAAAAACTATATGGTAAGTAGATCAAAGATTGACAAATAGAACTAGAATAATTGTTTATTACTTCCTTCGTCCCCAGAAAGTAAAACAAAGTCACTGACTATTTTTTATAAATTATTTTCAAAAATGAATCACCAGGTAACCATTTTCTTGATGTTCTAAGTCAAGTGCAATTTTCTAAATAAAGTTTCTGCAGAGATGGAAGACAGAAGAGCCTGGCAGTAGTGCTAGCACCTGATACCACCAGTTATCAAGTGTCCTACTTTCCCCACACACTAAAGAAATGTTTCTTCCCCTGGAGTTTAATTGTAAACTTGCTACAGTTATTGGAAATACTACTGAGTTATGTCTGAAATTCTAGCCTAGCAGTCAGTTTCCCTTTGGAGCCTTGTGGGGGTGAGAGAGTCTGCCCTGATACCAAGGCTTGCTGTTAATGTATCAATAAGTGGAAAGTAAGCAGGTGAGAGGCTAGTAACATTCTTTGGAAGGGTCTGAGACTGGGCTATATGTTACCTCACAAAGGAAACCAAAGCAGGAGCTAAAAATCAATGAAAGATTCTCAGACCTTGTGTGCCCAGTATTTGGAGGAAATATCTAGTCTTGTTTTCTCTTCTGAGCCTGACAATTTGCCCTCCCACCACTGTTGCCACCTCAATATTTATAAAATAAGCAGCCTGAATCTCATTTCCACACTAAAAACAATGCTATCAGGAAGCACTTACTTATTAATATTATTTACCTTTTTCTTAATTATATACATGTATTTAATTTTGTGGTGATGATCCACACTTTCTTCACTTTTTTATACGAAATTACCTTCAGCTGCTCACTTAAAATCTGAGTAGCTGATAATCAGCTCCCATCAAACTTCCTGTTATAAAGAATTGTGCAGTATACTGTAATCACATATACTGAACAACCAAGCAGTTTCAAGGGACCTTTCCTTGGGCTCTAATTGTTTCATCCCCTATAGTGCACCTGATTGGTCCTGATTGGTGACAGGCGTTGTGCTGGCTTGGGTGACTAGAAGGAGGAAGGGAGAAGAGAAACAAAATGAAACACACACACACAGGCACATGTGTGCATTCATCTTAACTAGGCCTAAGACCATTCTTCCTACCCAGCATACATCCTTAGTAATAGAAAAACATTTTCTGAGAACTTAAATAACAAGAAAAACAATGGTTTAAAGGTGTGAATAGCCAAGAAAGATGAAGGGTATTGCAAACTAAAGCAAGACCTGCACACACTTTAGCCCAGCATATTCAGTACTTCAGTACTTATCCAGATCTTTCACTTGGTTTCTCCTTTAAAGATCACTGACCAGATCACCCTTGCATTAAAAGGAGGGGGAAGAAGGAGCTCACCGGATCCCAGCCCTCTTCAGGTAGCCTGCAGGAGCTCATCCGGGATTTCTAGATCAAGTCCCTAATTTGTTACACAAAGAGAAAACCAGGAACAATTTGTACATTTGCTAGTATTTACTTCTTTCTTTTAACAAACTGCCTTTTGGGAAGAGAGTTGTCATAAGGGCAAATCAATCATTTCAAAGGGAAAAGTATGGGGGAGACAATAGACCAGCTGAAAAGCTGCTTGCAACAACATTAACCCATTGTTTGATCTCATACAACTGACACATACATGACAAGGGAACAGAAACCACAAGAAGCCAAGGATTCAGCTTCCCACCAACATATTGTGACCCACTATGCAGAAATAATATTTTATACCTTTGTGTATGAATAGATTACAGATGTGTTTAATTTTGTTTTCAG